AAACTAAAAAAAAAAAAAATATATAATAAAAATTAGTTCAGTTAAATAAATCAAATATTAATTTTGCATTAAGGGCAAACAGTATAAAAAATATAATAAAAAAAAAAAAATAAGTAGTTGTCTTAAGCATACCTTAAAATCGTGAGTCCTACTTAAATATAATAGCTGATGCCTAACACTCACTGTGCGATATATCTAAAACAATAAAATATGAATCTTTAGTAAATAATAATATAGAGTACATTCAATAAACTATGTATTTCTCATAACGTTGTACAAAAAGCATATAAATTTAAAATATAAAGCATGAACTTAAACATTTTAAGTACATAAATATATGTATACTCTCTCAATAGTACTTGCATCATCAGTTTCTGGGTTTACTTTAAGGTGAATTGTGTGAATGTTGATTTTTCTCGTGCAATTCTAAAACATAAATTCGATTTTGATTAAGCCATCCTGGCCTTTTTGGTTGGCTGATTTCTGAAAATTAAAATTAGGTGTTCAGAATTACTTGAAACATGAAAACTTCATAAAGGTAAAAATTGCTTTCTGTTATACAGTATCAAAAAATAGTGTCTAGTCTTTTTTGTAAGAAATTATCTGCAAAAAATCATATACATAAAAAACACTGACTGGTTTCTTGGAAAAATTTTGGTTCTATTCCAAATATACGACATTATATTATAAAATTTTTATTAACACTCACAAAGGTATTTCGTAGTTCACATCACCATCACGTTTACTCTGAATATAAGCTGCATGAACTTCAGCTGATAATATACTCTTTTTAACAGCTTCATCTTCAATCATAGCTAAACGCCATTTTAGCTATAAAAATTTAAAATATGTTATGAGACATGCATATTATATAATAAACTTAGAATAAGTATTTTTTTGCAATTTTTATGAAACCAGTAGTTAATCTGGTTAACATGTTTTTATTACTCTTACCAGAGCTGGATATCTAGTTGAATCAAGTTCAAAAACTTTACGCTGTGCAAGAATGGTCATCAGATCAGCACGTTCACACCATGGCCAGATCATGTAGTCCACCATACCAGGTTTGGTACCATGGAAAAAGTGAGCAGCAGGATCTTTAGCAGTCTGTTGTCTATGAACCAATTTGGCTTCGAAGTAATCCAAACCAATTAGTACAGTGGTGATGCTTTGGCCTTCCTGGTTGAGAAAGATGCGGAACATTGCACCAATTGTCTGAAAATAATAATAATCAGATAATGATAACTATTAATTATGGTAAAGAGATATAAGAAAATAAATCCACTATTTCATGCAGTAAATAAATACATTTTTGTAAATATTTGTTTCAATTTCATTCATAATTAATGTATCAAAGTGCTTATCTATAAATTAATAAACTATGTTTTACCTCATTGAATCTCTCGACCACAATTCTATCTAATGCTTTCTTTAAAGGATCTTTATCTTGAAGTGGCCTTTTGGAATATTCCTCATCGAGATAATCTGCTATGATTAAACTTTCATACAATACTTTTCCATTTGGCAATTCTAAAGCGGGCACTTTTCCTGGAGAAAATGAATTATTCAAATATATTCATTTCAGTAAATTTAAAAATCCCAGTAAGTTTACAAATACTTAGGTTCAATTTAAAATACAATCTACTTGCAAAAAACAAGAACAATGCATTAACATGTTTTTTAACAATAATTCATGTAAAGGCAACATTTTGGCAATTGTCCAGTAAATATATAAACCATTGTTTATGTAAACTAAAGACCAAAATAAAACATACAATATTAAATAATCATCAATATTTTCTGATACATTATTAAAAAAAAAATTAAAGAGATTTTCTCGATGTAGTATCATATGACAAAATTTATGTCTATGACCATTTGTAAAGAAACTTCAATTTACTTATCAAATATTAGTTTAATGTAAGTATTTTTATTAACTAACCAAGAGGGCTAACTTCCTTTAACCATGTAGGTTTATTTGTCAAATTAATGTAAACGGTTTCGTATGGAATTTCTTTTGCATCCAATACTAGATGAATCCTCTGAGCATACGGACAAAACCGCATTGAATATAATCTCAATTTTCCTTCAGGAACTGGTCCTGGTCGTTTGGATTCTGAGAAAGAACATGGTGTAAATAAATAAATACTATAAATATAGAAATTGAATTAATGTGGGTAATAGAAAAGTTTGTCATGTATTTTAAGTTAAGAAACATTTCAATTAGTGTAAGAAAGAAATATTTCATCTAGCTAGACATATTGCTAAAGTACTCTAGTTATTTATAAGCATTTCTAGAAAAAATTCTCTAACACATAAATGAGTCATTTTGATATTCGCTATTTGTTTATTGTTAAATTTCCTGGAATTCTAAAATAATAACTAATTGTGATCGAAAAACAATAATATAGATTGTTTTATATAGAAGAATTCACAATTTTTTATAAGATTGTGTATCATATTTATATAAATTTGATAAATAAAATTACTCATGCTGTTTTATAATTAAAAGGTGTTAATGTTCATTGGAAATATATATATATATATATATATATATATATATGTATATATATATATATTATACATGCCCTCATTGTTTTATAATTTTAATGGTATCAATAGCTAGATCGATAAAATTTCATGTGTTTAAGTATTTAACAAGCTAAAAGTAAAGTAATAAAGTGATCTTTTAGCATTTTTAAAGAATTAAAAACTGATGTAAAACGTAAAATTAAAACAGTAATAAAATCTAGCTTCATACAATGCTTAACAGTAAAAACCAGTTTTTACAAATAACCTTGCACATAACATCTTTTGCATAAATTACTGTGAAATTACTTAAGTGAGTAATAATTAAATAAAATCAATAAAAGCACTAGAATATCAATGAAAAGTGCAGGGCTTTGAATAGAATCCTTACAATGCATATACATATATTACAATGTAGGTGTGTCAGTAGGTCACTCAATAAATATTTCATCAATGTATGGAACACAATTAGATGCATACTTAATTAATTAATTAAATGCATTTATAAAATAATTATATTCACAACTTAATTTTACTCTAATTAACTTAAATGTGGTAAATATATACTCATATCATATTCAACAAATATAAATATCTGCTTACCGGTACTTAAATGTTTAACTCCCGTCATGTTTTCGAATCAATCACAAATAAACTTAATAACAAATTTAAATCTAAGGCACAACAATACTAAATTTAATATAACTAAGAATTTATTATTAATTTTTAAGATATGACGATAAATAGATTATTTATCGATCTAGCTTCGTCGAAGAACTAACTGAAATTAAACTTGAAATGAAGGTTAAATTTGACAGCTCGGTAGTACAGAAAGAGACAACTTGTCTTTGACGCTTTTCTTTTCGTCATGGCGGATATGGCGGTTAACGAAAAATATTGGTTTGTGCAAGATTGCCTTTAAATATAATTTTTTTTCAAAAATTTTGGCATTTATGTGCTAATTATAAAGCACTTTATGCATTATTCTAATCAACCCGTCCTTATCGAGTTTCATGAAACAGCTTTTAAATTTTTGGAATCAGTGCAGCCATTTTTGAGAAAATTAAAGGCCAAATTTTGATTGCACGCACTTCCTTTTCCGGAGTAAAACGATTCAGAATGACTTGAAACTTCCGGAAAACAAAATGTTTTTTTTTTTCATGAAAACAAACTTATGTTTATGATAAATATAACTTCCCTTAGAATTCTATATTCTTCAACTTCCAATATTCTAAATTTCCAATAAGAACAATTGATCAATTTACATTTTGTCATTATTTAAATTATTAATTTTAAGTAGTCTTATCCATATTATGTAAATTGCAAAGAAGTATTCAAAATCTATTAATAATTTGTGTTTAAACTTAAAAAACAAAAAAAAAAACTATATATGAAAAATTCTGTTACCAAATTAGAATCAATATTTCTAATTAGAATCATAATTTGTAAGTAGTAGTACTAGATTATGTAAATTACAAATAAATAAATAAATAAATAAATAAATAAATAAATATATATATATATATATAAATATATATATTATTAATAATATATATATATATATATATATATTTACATCTGTTTATAATACCTTTACCCAAATAAAAATAAAATAATAACATAAAAGTACGTCAATGTTTTTATTGAATTTTTATAATACAAAATATGTACAATTTCATAATTAAAACTATATGCCATATACATTTGTACGAATTTATTAAAACTTGAGTGAGAAGCCTGCACCCATTGGAATGTTTCTTGTATCCAACAAAGATGCTCGTTCACCCCAATACGCATCGGCTCCTTCACCTTCCCCCTTAACAAGTAATAGAATTAATAATTTTATTTAGAAGGAAATAATTTTTTAAATATTACTGTATGCCCTAGTAAATTAAAACTCATAATATTTATTTTAAACATCTTAATTTTCTATAAACTATCAACAATTATTATAAAAATTGAATATATTTACCAATGCTTTAAACTGGTCACCTCCTGAAGGTGGTTTAGGACTACTGGCAAGTGCACGTCTTGTTCCAAGTTCACTTTTTGCAGGCCACGTTGGAAACATAGCAGGATCAATAGGTAGTGGTACCTCCTATTCAATCATTCAGATTCATGAAATCAATTATTGCATTCTAAAATAATTAAGCACATTTTTGTGGATTTTTTTTTGAAGACCACAAGAATGTGTTTAACCTATAAAAATTCTATATAAAATACTATACCTTAAAATAGTTATGTTGCAAGGCAACCTCAGATGTGATTCTTTTTTCAGGATCATAAGTAAGAAAACCGTTAAGCATGTCCAGGCCTCTTGGTGATAAGGTTTGTGCAAATCGGCGTCCAATCATAGACACAGGATATTCAGTAAAAGTCATCTTTTGAACTGCAGGTAGTTTTGAATAACCAGGCCAGATTTTTTCATTTGGTGTTCCTAGATCCTAAGAAAAAATTTAAAGTTGATTTAAATACAATATAATAAAAATATTAATTTAATCATTATTTGAATGCAGAATTATTGGCAATAATAATTTATGATTTACCTTAAATATTCTATTTAGTTGATCAACTTCACTTTTACCCGGAAATAAGGCTTGCATTGCAACCAGTTCAGCAAATATACAGCCAACTGACCTAAAATTTATTTAATCATAAATACACTCACATAAATATTTTTTTGTATAAAACTACATATATAGCATATTATTTAATAAGCAGTACCACATATCAATAGCTGTGGAGTACTCTTTGCATCCAAGAAGAAGCTCTGGTGATCGATACCACAGGGTTACTACAACCGGCGTGTAAGCCCTCAATGGAGAACCATATTCCCTAGCTAAGCCAAAATCTCCAACCTATTTATAAAGGAGAGATGCTTTGTAAAAAAAACATTAAAAAACTATTTAGAAAAGATTTTATAAAATAATACATTTGATAATTTTGTAAGTATATATCAACTTGTTTTTATTGAATATATTTTTATTTTTTTATATAATTACCTTAAGAATTCCTTTATGAGATAATAATAAATTTGATGTTTTCAAGTCTCGATGTAAAATCCAATTATCATGCAAATGTGCAACAGCTTTTAATAATTGTTGAACTAAACATTTCACTTCACCTGGCAGAAAACCCTGTAAAATATAATATTTTAATATAAAGTTTCTCTTATCTCAACCGATAAGTTGCCGAATTTGGATCTTCTAATTTCATTTCTCGACGTTTCGGAGTGATTGTATTCTCAATCCTCACGAGATTGTGGAACAGCCTGATGAGATCAGTTACCCATTTATTGAAGATGGCAAATATAAATGACAAGAAATGAAACTAGAAATTTGAAATTCAACATTATTAATTAGCACAAATGTAGAAATTAATATAAAACCAATATTACCTGTTTTTTATGCTTCATGGTTTCCATTAAGCTTTTTAAATCGTGCTCTACATAATCCATGACAATGAAGATTTTATCCATGTTACTCCCAACAACTATTTCACGAACTGTAACAATATTTGGATGTTGTGCCTGCAAATAATTTTAAATGCAATCATTACAGAATTTTCTATTTAAGGGGTAGGAATCACTTAAAATGATGGAGAGAAAAAATATTTTACTATACTGACCTTCAGTAATGTATTAATTTCTCTTAAAGAAGTAATTGGAAAACCTTCTTTCTCTTTCTCCATTTTCAATCTCTTCAATGCGACAACTTCACCTGTTCGAAGATCTTTTGCTCTAAAATATAATATAAATGAAAAAATAAAGCAAGATTGAAAAACAATATTTCAAGAAAAAATACTTAGCATCACAGCTTTTTCAAACCTGTAAACAACTCCATAAGTACCCTCTTCTATTCTATTTAAACATTGAAATTCAGCAACAGATCTGCAGCCTTGTATTCCTGGATAGTACGGAGGAAATTTAGTCAAATCTTCAGCTTCGCTATTTTTTTCTTGCTCTGCATTATTATTAGCAATGTTATTAGTATTTGGACTGTTAGTTTCATTCTCTGTCTTTGTGTTTTCAATTTTCTTTTCTGAATCTTCCATTTGAATATCATCATCGTCCTTTTGCATTTCTGTATGAGATTCATCATTGGACTCTGAACTCGTATCAGACTCTGAACATGATCTTGATCTCGAACTGCAATACAGATTATGGAAGTCATATTTCATTCTTCTGTGTCAAGCACAGTTGCTAGAGAAACAATCTAATAATACATAAGTTATATTAGTGAGACACAATAAACTTTTATATACTGAGTCTATTTTTTTTTCACTAATTGATACTTTGTAATATAAAATACACATAATGATATTGAACATATCATATATACTCAATAATAATGAAAAAGTCGTTTGTAATAGAATTTTAATTAAAAGAAAATAGCATTCTTACTTGGATTTACGTTTCTCATCAGAATGATCATCTGAATTCTCTGAAGCTTCTTCTTCACTGTCATCTGAAACATCGTAAGATTCTAATATAAAATTATATCAAATAGACTTAAAAATTTAAAGCACCTATTTAAAATCTTATTATAGATAAAATATACAAAACCGTGTAAATGTAATAATTAGTAATTAATAAACACTAGTGGTGTTAAATAAAGATGAGACCTTTCAGCAGTAATTATTGTTACTATTCTTAAAATTCTTAATCAACATACCTGATTTACTATGATCAGAGTCATAGTTCGAATTGGCCATTTCCTCTTCTGTGTCATCAGATACCATTACTACAGTAACTTCTTTTGAATCTAAAATTATTTTTAAAATTTCAAGTAAATAGTATAATTATACTGAATATATATATATATATATATGCATTTCTATAAATTACCTTTATCTAAGCTATCCTGACTAGATCGTCTCAGTTTTTTCCTAGATGATGCTTCTTCATGTTCTAATAGTTTTTTACTTTTTAATTCCCGCCTAGCTAGCAATTCCATACGACTAATTTTTTTTAACCTGAGCATTTCTCTTTCTGCAACTAATAACCTATCCCTTCTTTCATCATATTCAACATCACGAACAAGATTTGTTTTTTCCTTGTGCCTATATGTCTCCATTTCCGTTTTATCCCGCTTCTGCTCATAATTATGTTCAGATTCACCTTCAGAGTTTCTTTTTTCTCTCACTACATTAGGTTTATATCTGCTGTGTCGTTTATCAAGATCATAATCTATATCTATACTCATTTTATCTCTACTTTGCCTTCTGTAATCCTCATTTTCTAAATCCCTGGATTTGATATCAATTTCTTTTTTACTTTTACGTTCATAATACTCTGCAGGTTTATCACGTTGTCTTCTATGCTCTTCAAGGTCCCTACTGTAATTTTTATGCCTTTTATCATCATGATCCAAATCATGTTGACTGCTACCTTTTGTTGGCCTTCTATATTCATCGTGAGACTGTACTTTATGCCTATTGCGCTTATCTAGCAGTCTAGATCGCAAATCTTCTAATATTCGATCAGGATTACTACTCTCAATATCTCCGGATCTGTGTCGTTTGTGTTTATCCTTATCCTTCATAGAGTGCCTTCTACTACTGTGTTTTAATTTTGAGTGTTTGTCATGGGAATGTTTTTTCCTAGATAGTTTGTGACTTCGTGATGAAATTAACTGTGGTGGTTTTATATGCAAGGAAGCATCATGTTCTATGTCTTCCTCAGATAAGCTGAAATTTGTTCGAACAGTTGTAAGATTTAAATTCAACTATAACTCCACACACTAGCACTAAAATGGATATACATGTATTATAATATGATTTAGACTTAGATATAAGAATAAAATAAATTAGGAACAATAAAATCAAGTATTAACAAATGCATAAACTATAACCTCATTTTTCGCCTAGGCCTTCAACTCATCTTATATATAACATAAAGAACATGTACCTAAACAATATACATTATATATTTTGAAACCAACTCCGATCTAATTTATAATAGTTTTTTCGAAAAACATTCTGATTTTCTAATTGACTAATATAATTTTTACATAAATGCAAATGTCATTCATACTAACCTAAAATCATTATCATTTGAATTAGGAGGCGAAACAATTTGTCCATCTTCACAACCATCCGAATCATTATTACTCATTTTAGATTAAATACGAATTTTACTTAAAACTATTAGATTTGACAATAACATTGAAGTTTATTTTTCACTTTTAATGGCGGCCACGAGTGGCCGCTTGAAAGCATAAAGTAATGTTGACAACATGACAGTAATAAATATTTAAGAAAATGCGCGAAATTTGAAATACTATTTACTTATGCACGTTGAATAAACTAAATAAAATGTGTGTGATATTTTTTCAACTTGATATTATTCATGCAAAACTACGTTTGTATGTTTTTAAAAATATTTTAAATTTAGACATTAAAACGGAAATCGCATGTGCATTGAATGTTATGATTACTGAATGACATAAAAATAAGAATCGATTTTTTTTAAACTTATATTTTGGAATGAGAGTTTTTCTTTAAATGTTGTAAATAATTCTTTATTTAATAACAGACCTTGGTGCAACCGGTTAAACAAAAATTAAAATCGAATTTCAAACTTTCTTTCTTGTTATTGATACATTTGAAAATAACGGAATATGACATTTTTGAAAAGGAAACACGTGTCTGAGTATAAATGTAAAATTAGTGATTGATTAATCAATTATTTAAACAATATACATTTAAACAATAATTGTATAATTATTTACAAATTTTAAAAAATTGGCAAGGAATGATTTCACAAAATTGTTGAAATTATTATATTACCTTGAGTTTTATTTACTAATTTGGATTTAAAAAATTATTCAAATACCGCTGTATATATCAATTAAATTTTTGTATATGCTTTCCTTACATGAATGTTGGAATACATTGAAACTTCCATTTAGAATTTGATATAATTGATGTTTTTTATATTATTATTATTTTTATATTATGAACATGTTTTTTAACTTTCCAGAAAAAATTGTTGTCATAAAAAATCCAATTCTCCGTTTTAGCCAATAATTCGAAATCGATTTTAAAAAAATTATTCGAAAGATATTATTTGGGAATCGTGCTGATTAGTTTTGGCTATAGATCGGCCGAGCATTTTCTTTGTAAGCTGTTGAATTTTTTTTAATAAAACATTAATTATACTAATAATTAATAATACTAAAATTTTGCGGTCTTACGACAAGTACTTTAATTAAGGTAAGTATTTTAACTTTCAATAAATTGATACAATTTTTTTTTATTTCACTTTATTTTAACAATCAGAAATACAAAAATAATTTCTATGAGCTAAACTGTACAAGATACAAAATTTGAATGCAATATATCATAGACAATAACATAAATAAATTAACTTTGTGAACGGATCAATAACAAATGTTAGAGGAGAGAAATTTCTTAAAAACTTTTGCCATATTTCTATTTCCTATAATATTTAATAAAAATACTTCCTGTTTATAAATGTATCAGATATTATACATACACACACACATATATATATATATATATAAATATATATATATATATATATATATATATATATATATACAATCACAGGTATCGGAACTAAATATAACATTTAAACTTGACCACAGAATTACGTGACGAAACTAGTAAATTGTTTTTAATAAGAAGACTAGTAACAAATTTACTCATTTTTAGTTTTTTAGCTTAAAAGATTTTTTTTATATTAGCTATTGGTAATTCAATTTGTTTAAATAATTGTCAATGTTTAATTTTTGATTCGTCACATTTAATGTATAGTATATTTTGACGACAAAAAACAACATATAAATTATAAAATAAATTTATTTTATAATTTATATGTTGTTTTTTGTATATAATTAATTATAATATAATTATCACAAAATTATAAAAAATCAAAACATACTTCTTAGAATTATCAATTTCTAAGTCTTTTGGCAAATGAGAAATAAAAGCAAAAGGAATATAATTATAAATTAGATTTTATTAAAAAGTTTAATTAAGCAAAAACGATGTATTTAATTTGTTTTTAGTTTAGTTTATAAATTTGAAGACTGATGTCTTTCAAATACACTTTTTTTTTAATTTGGCATTTGGTTTTTCCGGGATACAAATAAACAAAAAATTGCTCTGTGGACCATCACCAAAAACAATTCAAGTACGATTGAAAAATTTTAATATTTTTCGAACTCTTTTTGAATTTTCAAAAGTCAGTATACGAATTTCTTTATAAAAACGTTTTATTTACCCTTATAATTAATATTCTTTAACCCTCATTTATTTCACAATATTATTTAAAAAAATCTTCAGCTCATTGTCTATTTGTTTCACATTCACTATATCATTTTCTTAATAGAATTTTCTAAATGTACTTGTATGAGAATATTATATATTGCAGTGAATTTATAAAATAAAATCATTACCTTATAAAATCTTTAAGAGTTTATATCATTCGTTGAAATATTAACTTTGGATTGAATATATAATATATAAAAATATTATGCTGATTTAAATACTCAATTAGTCAAAGTATCATATATTTGATTAATTGAATATACTTTTATGATAAACACTAAATTATAAATAAACAAATAATAAATGCAATATGTTCAATTAAATTCTTAGAAAATATAAGTGTTATCAAAAATGCAACTAATTAAATATATACAATAATAAAAATTTAAATTATAGTATTCAATTTTCTAAAAGCAAAGTCAAAAATGTTTTCACAATCATTTGCAGTATTTTTATTTATTATATTAGTAGATACGGTTATTTCAAAACCAAGGTATGTTATACATAAATCATGAAAGAGTTTATAAAATTTAATTAGTAATATTTTTATCAATGGGTTATTTTCTTTTTATTTCAGGCTTCACATTCGCGTATATGTGCCAGAAATAGTACAGCATTTGCATCACACAAACACCATTTACAAACACATTCATCATCACATAGGAGGAAAATCAAACGAAAAACCAGAAGAACCGAAGAAACATTACCATCTGCACAAGCATATAATAAAACCATCTGATGTTACTGATAAATTGATCTCAGAATTATATCGGATAAGAAATAATGGTAAGGAGGAAAATATCAGCATCAAGCATTATATTTTATTTTAAGAATAATCTCAAATTTGTATCCAAGTTCAATATTAAACTGAAGAACAATTATTCTTTATAAATAGATAACAATAATTACATGCACAAATACGAAGTGACTGAGAAAGAAAAGGAAATCATGGTTACTCCTCCCCCGATGATATATGGATTTGTGCCCCCATCACCAACCCCCGCTGAACACAAGCACCAGACCAAACCTGATGGTGGGAAGTACGAATATACCAAATTTCATGTGAGTACATAAATTTTATCAAATAAATGTTTCTGATACTTTGTAAAAAATATATAAAACTTTTTTAGATAAGTGAAGGCTACAATAAGGTTTTGCCTCTGATAGAGGAAGGCAGTTATGGTGAAGTGAGGAAAAAAGGAAATTCTGAGACCATAAAAATTACTGACGAGGTAAGATGCATTCTGAAGAAATCCTCAATGAACAAATTAAAATTGCTGTTATATATAAATTTATGTTTCTTGTTAAATATATATATATATATATATATATATATATATATATATACATTCTGCAGTTTTTATAAATTTTCATTTATCACAGGGAAGTGTTTATAAAAAAATAAATAGCGAGCACTCAGATATTGGAGGTAAAAAAGATGGTGGTTACTATGAAGAATCTTATCACACAAAAAAAACTCCTAAAAACTTTCATGGTGGTAGTACAAGTGGTAAACATGAACAAGAAGAATCGAAAAAAGAAGGTGATCACGAACACAACAAAGGTAAGTTCTTTTAAAATAAATTATCTTGAAAGTCATTTCACAAAAACTATATTATAGGATTCAGTGAAAATGTGAAATACAATCACTTAACCAATGAAGACTCTGAGAAAGAACATAGCCAACATAGTGGCAATAATAGTGAAGAGCATTCTAAGAAAGAGCATAATAAGCAAAATAATAATAATAATAAGGAGCAAGAAGACAATCAGCAAGTTTATGCAATATATTATCCAGTAGTCCATAATGCACCGTAATTATAAGAACTTTATAAATATAAAAATACTAATTTTGCTTCTATAAGATATTTTACTTTGCCAACAATTTGATTTGCTCAAACTCACATTTGTATTGTCATCATAAAGAATTCAATCAAAATTTTTATATGAGTATAAGAATAAAATTAAAAAGCAAATATTACCATTAAGTGCATAAGAGCAATCTGTTTTAATTTTTCATCTGGTGTCTTTGAAAAGCTTAAACACATATTAGATGTCATTTTGTTTTATATTTCATTAAGTTTAATGTAAAGCAATATATAAACACATTATACATCTTGATGTGACTTTTTGGTAAATCGTTTAACTTTAGATCTCTTTCTGAGTCCTTGAGAAACTGTGGGTTCAATGACATTACGTTTTTGTAAGCTCTTAAATCTATCCAACAGAAGATTTCCTGTAATAACAATTTAAAATGAATAAAAAAATAAATAATAGAGTATAAAAGTGATAAGTAAATACTAACCTTCCTTTTTAACATTTCTTAAGTTACCAGCAATTTCTTTTTTCATGTTGAATTCTAATTCAGGTTCTTCGAATTTAACTTTTCCAAGAACTTTAGTTCCCTTTGACTTTTCTTCTTGTTTTATTTTACGTTTTTCTTGAACTTTCTTTTCAATTTCTTCAGCTTTTGCTATTTTTTGTGCTAATTTCTTCAGTCTATAAAAGATAAAATTAGTAAATCTTACTTAAATTATTGTATACATTCTTAATATACAAGAGAAATTATTTTAAATCAGCAAAACAAACTTGCAAGCCATTTGATGTAAAGCTAAAAATAATTAATTCTTACTTGTAAATATCGGCTACTTTCTTCTTTTCTACACGTGCCTTTCTCAATTGAAGTTTCAATATCCTCTGTTCTTTGGCTTTTCTTTTTTGCTTGAGATCTTTTTTCTTATTTTTTACTGCTGGATTTCCATTTTCATCGTTTTCAGATTCTGAACTTTCAGATTTATCATCATTATCAGCATCGTTGGCAAGAACGGTTTTTGGTAAACCTTCAGACATTTCTGCTAACATGTCCTTTTCTTTTTGCGAAGGTGAAACTTTTCTGAAGAACTATAAAAAATGTATAAAAAATGTATAAAAAATAAATATATAAATATATATATATATATATATATATATATTTCAAGCATAAAACTCACTTTTGATGTAACACGATTCAAATGCACTTCTTGTTTGATTAATTCTTTTTCTTTATCAACTATTATCTTTAATAAATTTCTGTGATCAGCTACACTAGGATTGTAAGACATTCCGGGATGAGGAGCTTCAACAGCTGACATAAATACCTAGAAATATATTTATTAATAAACATTTTCTTATGTTTGGTTAATTTTTTAGAATTTAACAAACCTGTTTCGATACTACTGATTTAGGTACAGTTTTAATAGTACGCCCAGAATTTCTTAAGTTATGTTTAACACAATCTTTATTCAGCCATTCTGGCATCGATTTCAAAGGATCTGAAATAGTATTATAAGAAAATGATATTCATTTAACTCTATATACATTTTTGGAGTATATTAATCAATAATCTTTTAAACAACTGCATTTAATCAGACTGCTTCTCTCTAATATTGACTTAATCAAGTAGAACTTTCTATATCATTTTTCTAAATCCAAAAAAAAACTTACCATCATTCTCATTCCAAATGTTCGCCACACATTGTTCCTCGTGGTCTTTATTTTCTTTACCCTTTTTGATCAATTTTTGCTGCCTTTTTATGATTTTATCTTTTACTTTAACATAACGATCTACCAGACCTTTTTGTCGCTCCAATTTTGTTCGCACTCGGTTTCTGAAGAATGTAGAGAATACTGAACATTTATTTATATTTACATATTAGACTTATTACACTAAAAAATTAACATTTGCATAAAACTAAAAGTACCTCCAGTTTAATAATTAAGTTATGTTATACAATTGACAATAATAAAAATATTTATAATATCATGACAATAAGATATATTTTATTTTATACCTTTTTGCGATAGGATCAGAAACTTTTGAATGTGATTCGAGCATTGCAAAACATTTTAAAGGGGCCTTCTGCAAAGCCAATCTTTTACTTCGCTTCGAGCTGAGTTGCACATCACTTGGTTTCTCATCGACTTTAAAAAGCTCATCATTAGTTCGCAGAGAAAATTCTTTTCTGAAATTGATGTATTGTGACATGAAATATAGAACATTTTGACATAACAAGAATACATTGAAAATTACATTACCCAAGTCTTTCTTGAAGACGCTTATCATCGAGAAATTCATCTACATCTTTAATATCAACGTGTTTTCTCCAAGAAGCTTTGGATTTTTTTGACACACGTTTTTTGGGGCCTGCTAATGCCATATTTTGCTAAATTATGCTACGTATATTATTACGTTTAATAAATATTTCAACACTATGTACAATATATTTGTTACTGTTATTCAATAAACCACTATAGTTTTTATTTTCTTAAAACATTAAAAATAAAATAATTATTGAATGAACTGTCAACACAGGCAAAATATTTGCCATGTGATATATGTTGAGGTTAAGAGTACAAAACATAAACATTTTGTATATCAATTCTAGAGATGCGACAGTTAGTATCCTAACCAAACCATAGAATATTGAAAATTTAAAACAGGGATCAACAAAAAACCGCCAAACATTTAAATAAAATAATTTAATAACTTCCCGTAGGGTAAGTTATAGTAAACGCAAAAAATCGATAATGAAAATGTTTGCATATCTTTACGTTTCAGAGGTTTCTGAACATTTTGTCATAACTTAAAAAAAATGGATGGATGTGTGTGTATGTATGTTTGGATACAATTTTTTGTCCACGATTTCGGGCCCACGAATCAACCGATTTGAATAATTCAAAAAGCATTCGATTTCTACTGATGGGGAGACGTGCTGATTAGTTTTTGGCAAACACAGGTTCAGCCGGTTCGGAGATACGGAGCATAAAGTGCTAAAAATGGAAATTCAGTTTTTGAGGTAACGGAGCGCCCAATTGGAATGATACAAAAACATTTTGCTTATATTGACGGAATGAAAAATTGATAAAATTTTTGGAAAGGCAGGTCTAGCGGTTTCGGAGATAGAGAGAAAAAAGTAAAAGATACGCACATCAAATCATCAGATATTTCATAATTTTTTTAAAAATGAGTGCTAATTTTGTTACAATTTTGTTGGACAATCAATACCAAGATTGTTAATTTTCAAAGTTTACTGATATGGTTCAAGCAAATTTCAAAATTTGTCGAAAACATTTTTTTTCAAAATTTTCAAAAATATACAAAGATTTATGCTTCGAATATGAATTTTGAATTTACAATTCAGTTTGAAAATGTATATATTTCAAATTCGTTATTCTAATCGTAAGAAATATATCCTCAGATAAATTCATTCGGCACCTCTTGCTAATGTAAACATTCTCAAGTATTTTGAGTGTTAAAATCGTCAATGTATATTTTATGAACAAATTCATATATAGTAATTATAAAAATCTCTTTAAAATTATTTAAAACAATTGTTATTAATCATTGATCAATATTTATTGATTACTGATATTTGTCCTCGAATATTTAATTCTGGTACGGGAAGTTCCAGCAATTTGCCTTAAGGCACGATGCCACGCACCACTAGTTCTTTTATTAATTTTCCGACGGGGAAGTTTATGTTTTCGTGGCGAAATCCGATTTGCTAAATTTATGTTTCCCAGACGTTTCAAGCCATTCTGAATCGAATGAGACTAGGAAAAAGTATGTGTGAATGTATGGCTGTGTGTGTACATGTGAGCCTCAAAAACGGCTGAGCAGATTTCAAAAATTTTAAAAGCCATTCGATGAAATTTGACAAGCACTTGCGTTGGTGAAAGCAAAAAAAAAATTAAAAAGATTTTTAAACAACAAATACTATTTTAATAATGCAATAAAAATTAGTCTCTTCAAATGAGTATTTTTTTTAATCAGAATTACTAATAACGACTTCATTATTCGGTTATACGCTATATATTATATCTTATAATTTTGGATCTATGTTTTTTTCAACTTTCAAATTTATAATAAAATTTTGTTCAATTTTCTTCATAACTATTTAAAAATACTTAACAATTATTCCAGACAGTCAAGAAGTTCATTTTCAATTTTTTTTAAAATTTTCGTGAAATTGAAATTAAAAGTTCAAAATTATGAATGTGAGAACCTATTTTAAATAGCTTTTTTTTATAAGCATACCAGTTGTAAATAACATTTTCAAATATTTGATGGGTAGTTGTAATTTCATTATCGAGTAAGAGCAAAGATTCAATTTAGCCCTATACTTTTCGAAAATCCGGGACAATCTGGGACAAAAGGTCTAAATCCGGGATAAATATTGCTTTTAGAAAAACTCGTGACACAAGGTGGAAACTCGTGACTGTCCCGGCCAAACCGGGACATATGATCACCTTACTTACGGGCACAACTAGTGTAACCGCCTAAAAAAAAATGATTTTTGGGAATTTATATTAAAAAAACTACTTTATCAATCTTTTCAATTTTAGGCATATATTTATACATGTTTTAAGAATACATAGTAAAATTTTTGAAGAAAACAATTAAATATTTTTTAAGTTACCGTCTATCTCCAACGGCGCGACAAAAAAGAGGCCCTTAACTGCTGCAGTGATTCCGGCCTTCTACGTGGATGAAATTAAAAAAAAAATCTCGTTAAACTAGATAATATTATCTGTAAAATGAACTACGATAAAGAAAAAAATCAAAAATTGACAAAATGACGGCGTTTTCTAAAAAAACGTCGAATTTTACCCAAAATTTTGGTCGTTTTAGGACTGCCAAAATTCGATTTTTGATCCGATCAAAAAATCGATAGTTCATTTTACGGAGAACTATATATAGAACATGTAAAATTTGGTAGTGGTAAGATGATTTGTTTTTGAGTAATCGCTGCAGCAAATTCGGAAAATGCTCTTTCGAGAAAAACGCGTTTGATGAAAAAATGATCGTTGTATTATATACTATATGTATACTTTTTAAATGGCTGTAACTCAAAAACTATTCAAGATATCGATTTAAAATTTTGGTATGTTATTTTTAAAGGTATAACCTATCGAAATATTAAAAAAAAGAAAATTTGATTTTCTGAAAATTTCACACTAGTAGTGCTCCTTAAGGCAAAATGTCACCTACAGCTAGTTGGCGTCAATTCAAGCGACTCAATTCAGAAGAGCCATGCCTTAGAAAAGATTGATGTATGAGCGTAAGTGTGCATGTATATCCCTCCGTCGGTCGGATATTTTTTCACCTTCGAACGGTCGGAAAGGTCTGGCTGGACCACCATTCATTTTACATGCATTTATATGGGATAAATGAGTTTTTGGTGTCTTATGTATTAACGATTATATAAAAAAATCAAGAAATATCAAAAAATCGTTGCTTTTTTGTTAATTTTTCTCTTTTAAATCAATGATAAACAATATTTATTCTTTCTCGGCGCCTTTGAAATGAATGTGTGCATTACTCATCCGATTTTCAGTGTTTGCGATTACCAATAAGTTTGGTAGGTTTTCAAGGAACTCTCGTCATGAAAATACTAACATTCATGTTAGAACACTTAGCAAAGAATATAAACAACGCAGTTTGATAAGAAAATACCATAAAAAAAGACAAAATACTGGTTTACATATATCAAAAATCGTATATTTCATACAAAATGTATGGGTGGTCTGGACAGACCTTTCCGACCGTTCGAAGTATAAAAAAGTTAATATCCTTATAATTATCCTTCTGTACATTTTTTCGTCCTGATTTTTTCATTGATCGACAGCTAATGAAATTTTAGGAAAAGTCAAGAAATTTCAAGTCGATAGGATTACTAGAAGTATTTTTTTTTTAATTGAAGTCGAAAAAAGGCCAGACCACGCCGACCGACGGAGTGATGTGTGTGCATGTGCGTTCTTGCAAATAACCCGCGCAAAATTTAGACTGCGCCCTCTGCACCCCTTCCACACGCAAATTTACAATCCCTTCCCCATTTACAATCAAAAGCGGTTACTGCAAGGATTCGCTACAATTTTTATCATTATTTTGTTTTGGCACTCGCCCGCACAAGCACACACGCTTAACAGAGAAGATCGACAATTGCTTACGACAAGGTAAATATTTGTTGAAAAATGTAATAAAATTTTACGCAAATTTGCTGTTAGTGACATTTTCCCTTCAGGAAAGTTGCTTAAACTTTTCCGTATGTGTAAATAATCGACATAATGAATAAGAATCGAGATTTTAACTGTTCATTTCCAAAATAAAGTTTCCGCTTTCGCCAACAAGTAAACATTGCGATTTCCAATTGATATCTTTCGAACAGTATTATAATATCTATAATTTTTTTAATTTTAGTGCACAAACACGTCCGTTCATGTCCTAAATACGTGTTCCATTATTCCAAACATCAATAAATTTTATAGTTTAATCGCATTTCGTATAATGGAACGATCGTAAGACTACGCCGCTCAATTTTTCAACTTTTAAAGAATTTTCGAAGTTGAACGACTTGTATGACCGTAATATTTTTAAGAGTCACAAAGAAACGGCACAGCCGATCTTTACCAAAAACAAATAAGCAGCAGCAAATGCTCTTGTTGCCAGAGGTACAGAGATAGATATAGGACTGATATTTGCATCAAACGTTATTGAAAATATTTGGTTTCGGTTTTTAAATTCCCCTACAACAAATTGTAATTACATACAATTTTCTCTCTTCAAATTCTCTAAAATCGTATACAGAATCTGTATAGGGAATGCAATACCGGTATACCGCCCAAATTTTCGGCGGTATACATACCGGTATTTATCTTAAAAATCCGGTATTTTCGGTGTTTTTACATAAGCGCTAATTTTACTGGATACAATTGCACTCGAATTTAGAGTTCTCGGCACAAATTAATCTTTAAACTAGAGGTGTATGGAATCGTGCCTAAAAACAAATTGCTGGAACTTTCCGTACCGTAATGAAATATTCGAGAAATTTTAAACGTTTTCAAATATATTATTACAAATAATGTAACTGTCATTATTTTTGCTATCTTGTTATATCTGAGCAAATCAAATGTAAATCATAAATAAATCAATTTATCTCCAGAATATTTACAATCGTCATTTCATTTCGAATTCAATTTCAAAAAAATAGTTGCCTAATTTACACAAAATTGAAAAAGTGCTCCCGTATAGTCACAGTTTTCACAAAACATTTGCTAATAATTCTGTGCGACATTTTCATTTATACTGTGTTTAGCTTGGCGGCATTTTCACATTTTTCAAAAGTTTTCACAAAATTGGAAAAGTGCTTTCCAGTACATAAACAGTCTATGCGCATTTGGGTAAACATTTGTACCAGAGTGGCGCTTAGACTGTGCTTAGCCTGGGTATTTTTTTGAATTTTTAATCCAAAATTACAAAAATATTTTATGGAAAATAAAAAAAAAGATGTTATAATTTTTTATCCTCAAAAGCAATTGTTTTGTCAATACAAGCAGAAAGTTTTTTAGATCATTAAAATCGGACGCTTAGTTCACTCAAAAACTGCCATTTTATGCACATTTAGCTCTGTATCTTCGGAACGGCGGGACCTGGCTTTGCCAAAAACTAATCACCTCTTCTCCCAATTCTTGCAAATTGAATGTTTTTTAGATCATTCAAATCCGATACTCCGTTCTCTCAAAAACTCGATTTGTATTTTCTGCACTCTTTGCTCCGTATTGCCTTTGCCAAAAACCAATCAGCTCATCTCCCTATCAATAGGGATCGAATGTTTTTTAAACCATTCGAATCGGTTGATCCGTGCGCCCGAAAACGTGGACGAAAAAATGCGCACATACAAAACACACACACACACACACATCCATTTTTTCTGAGGTATGCCAAAATGTTCAGAAACCTTCAAAAAGTGGAGAAATCCAAAAATTTTCATTTTCGATTTTCGGCCCATTACTATAACTACCCTATTTTTAACGGAAAGTTAAAAATCTATTTGACGGTAAAAAATGATCATTAGACATATGTACATCAAATCATTAGATATTATATAAATTTTAATAATTATTATAATTTTTGTTTGCATTTATATGAGAAGTTATTGGAAGCTCCAACAACTTTCCTTAAGGCACGATGCCATGCACCACTAGTTTAATATTTAATAAATTGCTATATCAAATATTGATTTCAGAGTATATCGCTACTTTCAGGATTAAAATGGGTAACAATGAAAGTCTAAATGCTGAAGGAGAAATAGTTCCGGTAGCTGAAGAAATTCAACAATCGGCAGGAAGGTATGTATATATATTAGGGCGGGTCGATTTGTATGGGTAAAAAAAAGTCACATAGGCACATATGATATTCGTATACTAGGGATCAAAATAAGATACCTTGCCGAAGAAACCATATTTCTAAAATGAATTCTGATGTCCCGTGCATTGGGTCAAAGGTTGGGTCAAATTGTAAAAAATCCTGTTTTTGGCTCATTTAAAGCGCCTCAATAATGTTCAAATGTATGACCGACCCCCAGTAACTTTGGAAGGCCGATCTACCCATGCCCATGGTTCACCCCCTGGGACCTCCCCTTAGAAGTCTTCCATACAAATATTGCAAAAAATCATCGTTTTTGGTATTTTACTCAGCAAAAAATGTTTTTTTTTTTAAACAATTTTTTTCAGATATTAATTCATCTGATGATAGGTGGATCGGCCTTCCAAAGTTAGTTGGGGTTTGTCATACATTTGGACGCGATTGGAGCACTTTAAATGGATTAAAACGGAATTTTTCAAAATTTAGTCCCTATCTTTCGGTCAATGCACGGGACATCAGAATTCATTTTAGAGGTATGATTTCTTCAGCAAAGAATCTTATTTTGATTTCTAGTATCCGCAAATTATATGTGCCTA